CAAGGTGAAAACTAAAGTAAGGACTCCAAAACTCTGCAAAGGGACATGCTTAGCTAAAATAATGATAATAATCAGCCACTATCCCCTCATTTGCTTGATAATTATCACTGTTCACTCATTTGCTTCTGTACCCTGGAGGCATAGTTGTCAGTTGTACAGTACATCACCTGTTCAGAACCTAGGGGTAGTTCTTGATATATCTTCTGAGCCCTGAACTCCAGTGACTGACCCACCCAGACCAAAGAACTGACTCAATTGGACTTGGACCCCCCAACCCCCTCCAGGAACGCATTTCAGTGGATGGGCTGACCCACCTAGACGGCAGCCCATACCAAAAGACTGATGGTTCCACCCAGAAACCAGCCAATTAGCAGACCCTACTTGCTTAATCTTCTGCCCACCAAAGTGTCTTTAAAAAACCCATCTCCCCAATTCTCCAAAAAGTGGATTTGAGAAATTCCTCCTGTCTCTCTACTTAGCGCTATGCAGAATAAATCCTTTCTGTGCTGTGTAAGCCCTGCTGTCTTGTAGTTGTGTCCCACCCCCAAAAGGTGTCCCATACACCCCTACATTGTGCCCATTAAGTGGGAGCACCCCAAAGCCCCCTCCTCCCCTCTGCCCTCTCCCTTGTTCCCCCTCCACCCAACTTGAATTGATACGAGTTTTTCTCCTGTATGGACGTGAATTAGAACATCTACTAGCTGCATATTAGTATTTAGTACATTGGATATTTGCTTCTCCATTCTTGTGATACTCTACTAAGAAGAATGTGCTTCAACTCCATCCAGGTTAACACAGAAGATGTAAAGTCACCATCTCTTTTATAGCTGAATAGTATTCCATGGTACACTTATACCACACTTTGTTAATCCTTTCCTGAGTTGATGGGCATTTAAATTGTTTCTACATCTTGGTGACTGTAAATTGAGTTGTGATAAACAATCCAGTACAAATGTCTTTTTGATAAAATGATTTTTTTCCTTCTGGGTAGATGCCTGCTGGTGGGATTGTGGGGTCAAATGGGAGGTCTAATTTAAGGTTTTTGAGGATTCTCCATACTTCTTTCCAAAGAGGCTGTATTAGGCCGGGCACCGTGGCTCACGCCTATAATCCTAGCAGTCTGGGAGGCCGAGGCGGGTGGATTGCCTGAGCTTAGGAGTTCAAGATCAACCTGAGCAAGAGTGAGACCCCACTTCTAAAAATTGCCGGACATTGTACATCTGTAGTCCTAGCTACACAGGAGGTTGAGATAAGAGAATTGCTTGAGCCCAGAAGTTTGAAGTTGCTGTGAGTTGTCACTCCATGGCACTCTACCAAGGACAACAAAGGGAGACTCTGTCTCAAAAAGAAAAAACAAAACAAAACTGTTTGTAGTCCCATCAACAGTGTAAAAGTGTTCTCCTCTCTCCACATCCACGCCAAGCATCTGCAACTTTGAGACTTTGTGATGTGGGCTAATCTTACGGGGGTTAGGTTATATCTCAGGGTGGTTTTGATTTGCCTTTCTCTGATGATTAGGGACAATGAGCATTTTTTCATATGTTTGTTAGTAGCCATTCATCTGTCTTCCTCAGAGTAGGTTCTGTTTATGTCTCTGGTCCAGTGATAGATGGGATTGTTTGCTCTTTTTTTGTTGATGAGTTGGAGTTCTCTATAGATCCTAGTTATTAAACCTTTGTCAGATTTGTAACATGCAAACATCTTTGCCCATTCTGAAGGTTGTCTATTTGCTTTGATTGTTGTGTCATTAGCTATGCAGAAGCTTTTCAGTCCCGTTTGTTTATTTTTATTATTGCAATTGCCACTAAAGTCTTCATAAAATCTTTCCCCAGGCTGACATCCTCAAGTTTTACCCACACTTTCTTCGAGGATTTTTATCATTTCATGCCTTAGATTTAAATCTTTCATCCACCTTGAATCAATTTTTGTAAGTGGTGAAAGGTGCAGGTCCGGTTTCTATCTTTTACATGTGGTTATCCAGTTCTCCCAGCACCATTTATTGAATAGGAGTTCTTTTCCCCAGTGTATGCTTTTATTCAGCGTATTCAGCTATAAGAGACTAGTTTCATCTCGTGGTTTTTCTATTCGGTTCCAAATGTCTGTCTCTATTTTGGTACCAATACCATGACCCCTCAATTTTTCATGAGGAAACTGAGGTTTAGAAATCTGAAGTTAGGGTCATATGTATCCAGGAAGCAGTGCTGCTAAGATGTCAATAATAGGAACCCAACCCCTTGCTTCTGTAGCTTTTTTCTTTTTAATTTTTAATTCTTGTGCAGCGACCATGCTAAGCTTCTCTGTGTGGTTCCAATTTTGGTATATGTGCTGCTGCAGCAAGCACATACAGTATATTATTACCGCAGTGTCTCCTGAGTTACTAGCTTCACCGTAAATCTGTACCCACCATCTCTAGGACTACAATAAAAGGAAATCAAATGATGGGCTTAATGAAGGCATCGAAAACATTATTTTACAGTTCCAAAGCCGTGCTTGTTCTAATCTGTGTTTGAGTGGGAAGGAGGAAGTTCTGTTAACCTCTTCATTAGTCAATCCTCCCCCACCAGACTGATTCAGCCCCATAAACAACATAATTATACTGAACAATTGTGTGTTTATTTCCATGTCTAGACACAGAGCTTACATTTGGAAACAAAAGAGAACAGAATAGAGAATCCACCCTTCTTTTTTTAAATCTTTGTTGGCAAATGTTTTCTTAGCCTAGATGCTCGCCTTTTAATCAGGAGATATACGTTCAGAGTATCAGAGGTTTCCTTTAAAAAAATACATTTTTGTAGAGCTATCAGTGTTAATTTAGGAGTAAAACATGAATACATTTAAACCATCTCTAGTTTGAGCAGAAACAAGTCATTTTAAACCATAGAGGATTTAGAAAATTGTGAATGAATGCTAAAACAATTGAGTAAAAGTTTGATGTGGAACAAGCTATTTATATATTACGAAATGTGTCTCCTCACAAATTACATGGTAGCTGTAAAGGGGAAAGAAAACAGTAACCTGACAGTGGTAAACCCAACAGATACTGACTTTACCAAGTAATCCAAGATAACATCTCCCATACTGAGACACACTGACATCCAGAAAACTGCCATCATGTGCCTCCTGAGAAAGGCACATCATTTCCGCCCCAAAATGCATAACCTGAAGCTAACTATAAAGAAATTTCAGATAAATTCAATTTGAAACATTCTGTAGAATAACTGGCCTATGTTCTTCAAAAGTGTCAAAATCAAGAAAGACAGACAAGCCAGCACGGTGGCTCACACCTGTAACCCTAGCACTCTGGGAGGCCAAGG